TACGGGTACAGGATTTCAAGATCACAAGATTCACTGTGATTCACTGCCTTAAAGTTGTGGTGCTAAAATGCTAAACCTGTCCAAATCTTGCTTTGTTCATCAACGAAGCTAGAAAACATATTGACATATTGTAGTTTATACATACACTATAATCTATAAACTGCTGAGACTGTCCCGCACACTGCACAACGGTCCCGTATCTGACATATCCGTATCCATATCCGGTACCCATGCCATCATTACCACATTCGTCTTTGCCATACGCCGTACCCGGTACCTGATTACCGATATCCGATTCCCCTGACAAGGACGTCCAGTTCTTGATCAAGCCTGGCAACGACGATTCCCCATGCTGCTGCGTCATTTGCGTTGCTGTGAGTGGTCGCCTTGTTCCAGGCATGGCGGTTGAGAAGATTGCAGACAAGTTCAAGGTGGACAGGGATTTTGCAGCGGAGTGGCTGCGTGCGCAACAAGCCATCTTGATGGAGCAGCAAGAGGAAGGTGTGCTTCCAACGTTTCTGCCTGCAGCGGATTGCTCTAGATCTGTGGCCTATGGCTACATGATCTATGAGAAAGCAGCCCTTCTGCACGAAACACATGTGGTCCAGATCTTCAACAAAACGCCGCGCCAGCTCCAGATGCCAGTGTGGCGGGGGGCACTTTGATTCACCTTCGGGACCCATGAAGGAGCCTTGGCCTTGCCTCCAAGAAACGGTTTTTCAATTCTCAATTCAAGCGAACAAATGAATAGAATAGAATGGATTCTGAATTGAATAGATTGTTCAATATTGAATATTGATTCAATGAAAGTGTTATATACAATATATAAATATATATATATAGATGATAGTTATGATGCGGCAAAGCACCCCTTCCCTGTTACTACATGGCCTTCACTGGTACGTACACTGTACACTCACGGTTGCCTGTAAACTGAAAACTGTACACTGTACCGGTAACTGTTAAACTGTTACCGGTAACTGTTCTCCCCATATGCCATATGCAATAGGCCGGGTGATTGTCTCAGGAGTACTACCTGATTTCTCTGCATGAGCTACCAGATGAGCTGCGAGATCAACTTCCTCGGGCAACTTGCCAAAAGGAGGAAGCGTAAAGCAGTGTTACAGTGAAAACAGAAGTGTTGAACAAACTTTTATTGGCGCTGTCAAGACTACAATATATATATATACACATACAGTTACTAATATGTATGTTTACAAATATACAGTATCAGTATACTAGTAACTAGTATACAGATTCACTGTCACTGTCACTATCGGTATCGTCACTATCGGAGTCACTATCGGCCAGGTAAAGTTCTTTCATCGAATGTCCACGGACTTGGGCGAGAAATGGCTAACACCAGAGACACAACTTGCCCGCTTTGAGCGACAAGGGCCCCCCGTCTTTGACCATGTCCACGGCAACTTCCAAAAGGAGTTCAACACGGTCGACAGGAATTCAATTCTGACATACGAGGATTTGAAAGAGAAGGCAGACAGAATTGAAGCTTCCTTGCAGTTGGGTGTGAATGCGAAGGAGAAATCGGTCCTAGCTGCAATGGAGGAGGATCCGATGGATGAAGAAGAAAAAGCTCAAGCGGTTTCTCCGTATTTGCTTCAATATGTTTTTCATGTTTCCTGATTACTTTGTTGAAACATATACTCTTTAAAACTCAGTTCAGATCTGTGGCTGACTACCTTGACTACCTAACCTAAACCTAACTGCAGCTGCTAGTTACTGGTTAGTTAGTTAGTTAGTTAGTTAGTTAGTTACTACTACAGTAATTACTACTTACTTACTACTTAGACTTACACTTGAATGATTGCAGATATATTTTTTCAATATCGGTATGCCGTACACTGTATATAGTAATATAGTAGTATACTATTCACTGTACTGAGTACTGTAGAATAATGCTGCCTACTCGTCATGTTATAGTCTCTCATCTATCTACACCTTGACCTTGACTCTTCATCCTTCCGTTGTAATCTGACTTTGTTCCTGTTGATTCTTGCTTGCTCTGAGGAAAAGGCAAAGCGGATGATCGAGGGCTACTCCGACTTGCATGGACCACCACAGAAAGTCCCCAAGAGAAAAAAGACGGTTTCTGAGAAGGACAAGGAAAAGGAAACATCATCAGCAGCAGCAGCATCGACCAGAGCAACGGCTTCCGAAGCAGCTCTCACTGCTGCTCCTTCCACACCGGCAATCAGTGATGCAGGCAGCGGCGTTTCAAAGACTCTCGACTCTTCAAATGAATATGATGAGGCTATGCGAAAAGTCGCGATTGCGCATATGGATGTTTCAAGGGCAGCCGGCAAGCGCAACAATTCTACAAAATCGCTGACGACCCTACGTCCTATGCTTTTCTGGTCTTCAGCAGATCATGGCAAAGGACATGCTATCTCAGGGGTCGGGGATGCGCAAAATGTTCCGACACACAGACTGACAGACATACTGGCATGCAAAGACTGACTAGTGACTATTATTTAGAGTGACTGTTAGCGAGCGGTCTGCTGGCACACAAACACAAACACACACACACAGACACACACGTTCTTCATTTTATGTTGTGTGTCGAAGTTTAACGTTTACAGTAACTGACTAATTGTAATTTCTATGTTGACTGACTGTTGACTAAATTTGAATTTGACTAAAATATCACTGATAGCTGATATCTGATAGCTGCTGCTAGCTTTAATTTTAATAGTTGATACATTACATATATTATATATATATGAAGACTATTGTCATAGTCATAGGACCTAGGACCTATGTCATAGTTCTAGGCCACCCATTCACGCACAGGCAAAGCGTATTCAAGAAGCCCTTCAAGCTGCACGACCTGATTGCATGGAATTGAAGCTGTTGACTTCTCGTATCGAGCAATGTGCCACTGTCCAAAAGTGGGCTCAAACTCCAGATCTGAAGTCTTTGAGCACCAAAGAGCTTGACAACCTTGCTAGCAAATTGGAGGACTATTGGCCCAGCATTCCATTGCTGCAGCGTGTCCGTTTCACAGCCGGAGTGGCAGGAGCTATGCTCAATGCCTTTCCCGGGCTTGAAGACAGTGAGTCTGGTGATGAGAACACGCTTGTGGCCTATGCTGGCAGGATTGCTGAGGCTTTGCTTTTTGAAGCATCACCTCCGCTGACTTGGAATGGAGCCACCCCACGCAATCTTGCTCTGCTGACTGAAGCTATTGCTGACATTTCCCATGAGATTGAGGCTGATGATGAAGCGGGGACAGGTGAAAAGGTGGCAGCCCTTGCGAAGGAGCACAACACCGCCATTGAGGCAGGAGTTCTCTAGTCAAAGTTCGGCACTGGCAATGACAGCTTCTCTGATTAACGACCGTTACACTGTTACAGTATACACTAGTCACTAGTCTAGACTCTAGACTCTAGACTCTAGAGTCTAGGTGAGGTGGTTCCATCAATGATCACAGATTGATTACTTATTCAGAACTCGAAACTGAAACTTGAGACCTCTCAGGTGATGGCTGAAGGCCTTGTTGACTCATTTGGTGGTGACGGCTTTTTGAAGATGTTCAAGGACCCAGAGCGTTATCATGACTGGCTTGGCCATCTTGAATCAGCTTTTGTCCAGCACCTTACAAACTCTCTGGATTTCATTCAAGGGGAGATTCAGGCAGGCCATGATGAGCACCTACCTGGACTCAACCGTCTTCAAGAAAGCATCAACCGAGTCATGGGAGTGATGAAGTGTCTTGACTATGCTTGGGGCATTGGTTCCTTTGCGGCAGCGAACCCACCAGTGCTGCTTCAGCCACAAGATGTGCTTAACATCACGACCTACAATGGAAAGCAGATGCTAGAATTGATCTTGCAGGACCCTAGACTCTAGACTCTAGACTGGACTCCAGAGTCTACAGTGTGCCTGTCTCAAGTCACTTTCGAGTTACTGAGTCTTTGTGACTGTTTAAGATGCATTGGCATAGTATATAGTATAATGAATTGAACAGACCATAGTTGAAGGTTACAAATTCAGCAATTGTTATATGTTATCTATGCCATAGTTACTATAGTTACTATACTATATATATATAATATATACATAATACATAGTAATAATCAGCAAGTCAGTCAACCATTGCAGGACATCTGCGCTCAAAGTCAAGAATGGACACGGGTGAGTGACGAGATTCTTCGCACAGCGAATACCAGCTTGAAATGCCGCCCGTTGATGGAAAGGTTGGAGTCTTCATTGAGCCACTCCTCAGCAGACTTGGCAACTGCCATCCCAGCAGAGCGTCTCTCTGAAATGAACCGGGATTTCCGCGAATGCCAAGCTGGGATGAGACGGCATGAGCTGTGGCAGCCTGAGAAGAAGTTCATGGCCTATTTGGAAGCAATGGCAGAAGCTTTCATGGCACTGGATGACGACAACGTGAGCACTCTCAAATCCAAAGACGTGGAGGCTGTCTTAGATGGACTATTGATCTTCAAAGACCGCCCAAGTCATCATTCTCTTGCCCAGGATCTACGCTCATGGATGACAAAAATGTCAGGCACAATGGCCGTGGCTGATTTGATTGACCTTTCCATTGAAGCTGCCAAGGCTGACGTTTCTGACCTGACAAAGCTGGCATCTGTGATGGAGAGGTGCAATGGCTTGAAGGTTTCAGCGGATGAGGACATTGCTCACGTGGCTTCCCTTCTTGTGACCTCGCTGAGGGCTTTGGTCATCGAGGCCAGGGAAAGGGATCTGATCATCTGATCATCAGATCAACCTGATTTATTTAGCCGAGCAAGTCACTAGTCAAGTAACGCACCTTAACCTATTTGGGATCTTGTTTGGACAGGTTTCAACAACAGTGATTAAACATTCATTACAGTAAACTATTAAACATGCCACTGACTCACTCAGTTCAGTATGTCATATGACATGATCAAGATCATACATGACATTGACATTATTAATTATCATTACTGATAGCAAAAACTATAACTATAACTACACTGTCACAGCTCCACATGCAGGTGCGGCAGCAATCGAACATCAGTCACGTGTATGTGAACCGTCGTGTGGCCCTTCTCTCCAAATTGGTTGAGATGGCGTTTGACTCCAACAACTCTATGGCACAATGCGTTTCCCGTCAATGCGAGATCATCAAGCACGGTGTTTTGGTGGCCACCCAGATCAGCTCTATGACTGGCTTGGGGCGAGATGCAAAGGCACGTGTGCTGAAAGATGCTGGAAGATTGCAGCTTGGCAAGATCATCCGTCTGGGCGCACAGCTTTTGGCTTCCAGGGAAGAACTGTCAAATCTGGAGGTCGCAGCTTGCCCGACACAGAATCTTCCAGGTCTGGATTCTGATGCTGCTGCCGCCAAGGATGCCGATGCTGTGACCACGGCTCAGACGGAGGCAAATGGAGCACCTTCAGCTGCAGCAGACGCAGCCACAGCTCCTCCTATGGAGTCTGAAGGTACATCAGCAGCAGACCAGGACCTAGCCTCTGTGAAGGCTGCACAGGACATCGACGTAGATGATGTCTTTGCTTCTCCTGAAATGATGCAGCTGGCCTTGGTGGTTGTGCCAGCGGCGGCAGCGCCAGAGTGCAAGCCAGAAGAATCTGAGGCTACGGCTACGGCGGCTACGGCTACTTCCACGACGCAGCCAGAAGCACTGGGACCTTTGGAGAGGATCCGTCAGATTACCATTGACATGTTCAACCTTGATCCAGGAAGCGCTTTCAGTGACATGCTGCAAGGTGAGTTGGTCCAAGACTTCATCCTCCAGCACATTGCTTCATGCCGAGAGCAGCTCGATGACATTGGATTGAAGATGCAGGGTGCACTTGGCCCATTCAAGGATGTTTCCTGGAACTGGGAAGTGGAAGGTGCATTGGGTAGATCTGGGGCCACTGTCGAGGAACTTTTGGAAGCAGCGAAGCCGATCATGGTCAAAATGCCGGTCAAAGGGCAAGCCTTCTCAGATATCGTCCAGAAGATGTCTTCAGTTGCATGTTTGTCATTGGTCATTTTTCTTGTTTGTATGAGTCATACATTAGTCATATCATATCTTAGCCGCTTAGCCTTAGCCGATAAGCCACATATATAGCTGCTCTTGTTGCTGTAGGACTGTAGCACTGTAGGTAGGACCTGTAGGGCTGTACACTGTAACAGACTCAGTAACAGCAACAATGTAGCAGTAGCAATGTATAGCATATGTTGTAGTGAACGACACTAAATACTTGACTTATATAACTTACACATGTGTTCATAATAATTAAATAAACTATAAAACCACACAAAGTATAAGTACAGCGCTCAGTCTGTCACTGGTTATCCAATCAGGTTGCTGCCACTGCAAAGGAGTTCGCTGAACAAATGGCTTCTGCGAGGACCATCTTGACTTTGCCGCTTATGACAGAGCCACAAGAGAAGATGGATGAATTCATGAGGTTCTTTGCTTCTCAGACGGCCCTTCTTCGTCGGGGTCGTGCTCTGTTTGTTACAACAGTGCTGATCTTGGCACTCAAGCTTTCAAAGCAAGATCAGGAGAGCCAACAGAATGCCAAGCGCCTCATTCGCGAGCACATGGCCGCTATCCGTGGTGGACAAGATGGAATGCAGGATGTAGATGTGCCATTGTCTGTGCGGGAGAATGCTGAGAAACTGCTTCTCTGACTGGCGCTTTTTCTGCGTACAGTACCGTGCTTGGCTTGACTAGTCCAGGATAATTTGAATGGGAGACTAGGCCAGGCTAGGCCCACTTCTAGCAAGTCGCAAGTGCCAGCCAAGTCAAACAATAGATTTGATTGAGTCACTAGGCCTGGACTGACAAGGCTCGGTGTCAACACTAACAGCAACTGATCGATTTATGTCTGTAATTATAGTTTAGTTTATAGCAATAGTACTAGTTACTAATACCTAGTACTTCTACTTGGTACGGTGCGGACAGTCAGGTCTAGTCACTGGGGTTCATATCCAATCTATGTCAATCTATGTTTTTTTAAAGCTGTTTTCATGCCTCTCGAATTGAGTCAGTGTCAGTCAGGGTGCCTGTTTGCCTGGTGCCTGCTGAAGAAAATGCTCTTGAATGTATGGCAACATGTTTGTCAATGGATATCGACTGTTACTTTCATCTTGGACGGACAGACTTGAATATTGTTGGTCATTGTGGGCTCTAGGCCATGCAGGCTTTGAGGTACAGGGTTGGCAGCGGCTATGCAACAAACCATTGGCCCTGGTTTGGGCTTGCAGAGGGAAAAAATGGCAACAATTGTGTTGGCAAAGCAGCTCGCGTTTGCACTGA